TGCTATCGTTTTTTTTTTCCCTTAAAATTGTGAAACAAATTACCTAGATTACATTCTTCTTCTTCTTCTTCTTTTCTAACAAAGAAAAGAAAAGCTGTGGGGCTTGATTTAAAGACTTAAAGATGCGACTCCTTTATTTTCTATCATGCTACAATCATTCAACACTGTCCAGCACATAAGCGCCCGCACGCTTGGACTTGAAAGCACACAAATGTCCATACTAAGTGTGAGTTGTATAAAATCACATCCTCATTCCTTTTCTTAGTCATTTCAAGAGAAAAAAAATCCCATTAAAGATAGGTTTGATGATACAAAAAGAAATGGAAGCAGTAAGCTTTAGTATGAGCTGATTTATCTTCGATTCGATGCTCCTAATCGACTTGATATGATTTCCTATCATTGCAACTAACTTATCTCACTTGAACGCACGCATGGGAACGAGAAAAAGGCGCAAGGAAAAGTAGTGAAACTGGAAAGAAGGTTCGTACAATGAAAAGCTAAAGCTTTTGCTCCTTCTTTGATCTTCCATTGACAAGGATGTAAAAGGCTGAATTTATGAACTACCCGTGCCAGGAAAAATAGTTAAGTATTCTCCCCGAATCCGAGTACATTTTTTGAGATTTTATTCCTATGATCAAGTTCACGACTAAGATAACTAAGGATCTGACGAAAGATTAGGGATCTCGAATCATGTTATATAATACACAACTTCGTTGCATAAACTTGTGAGTAGCCGTCTAAGCACAATTAATGCCGAACTTTCTGGATTAACAGAGTTTAAATAAAATAATTTCTATATTCGGACCTGGAAATGGGGCAGGAATGGTGCAACCATTCCGGAAAGTTGATGGCCAAGATTTAATAAAAAAAAAATGTAAGATTCAGATTTCATCTTGTACATCGTTTTTCACATCATATGTGAGACCCACAAAATTTTGTTCTATAGTTACACGTTATATGAAATGAATTAAATCGTATGCAAATTGAGTTACATCTTGTGCAAAATGCACAAAATCAGTTCGGACGATTTTTCTATTGACTGTTCCTGCCCCCCTGATCCTTCAGAGATCAACCTTCATCTCCGTATCATCTAGCAAAAACAAAAACATTTATATTAATAAAAGTCAGTCCGTCGTTGTTCTTGAGCTGCCCTTGTCTCAACTCAATTAATCATGCTTTTCTCTTTCCGGGAAACCATGACTGGGAGTTATTTACAGCTATTAAAGATAACCGTATCTCTTGTATTACCTCTTGGAGGTCAATATGGAAAAAGTTTAGACGGTGCACGTAAATTTTTCAGTCTTGTGATAAATTTACATGTGAAATTTGCAAATTGGAATCAGATTCAGGGCAAGAAAACTGGCCTTTTGTGTTAGAAAGGCTACAGATTAAACAGATAATATTACTGGAAATCAGATGTTTTGCTAGACCATTGATGACAGCAAATCACGACAATCTTGGGACGCATTTTTGTTTCATTTTGCAGGTCAAAAAAATAGTTCGGCCACACAAACGTCTCATTGGTTGGGAATACAAGTAATGGAATATTTGGTATGTCTTAATCGTCGTGTCATCTTAATATAAATACGACGCTTCATGATCCAAAATATTCATTACAGCTTGAGGATAACATAATCTTATTGTAACTAGGCTTGTGATGCAATGTAGGGTCCCATGAGACAAAAAAATCTGTCCTTAAAACGGACATATGAACTCGATTTTATTTTAAAAAAGCGAAGAAAAAACTTCCTGGTTTAGGCATTAGTATTGCCGGAAGCCAAACTGGTTAGTTGGCAGAAAGTCTATTGTCACATTCGAACACAACTGGGATTAATGTTTCTTTTTCGGTTTCAACCTAAATACATTGGATAAATAAACACCTAAACAGGCATATCATGCATAATCTAATTTCATCGTGACATAACCCTTGAGTTCCGGGAAGAATTAGTAATTGCAAGCTTGTGATGGAAGAAATGGTTGAAATTTGAAGTCAATAATGTTAACTACCGACCATTTACTACCAACATGTGAACAAAGAAGACCCAGAGAAGGCTCGTATTGGGTAATATATGAGATGCAGCTTTCTCAACAGGTCTCGGTTGGGACAGCACAAATTAATTAGAATATGCTTTGGTTTACGGATTTGATGAAGTCGAAATAAACTAACACGCTTATGGTGCATTAGGTGATGATGGACAATGAAGGAAGATATAACAAAGACCTGATTTACGAGCTAAAAGACAATATATAGCCGGAGGGTTTTTAATTTCCTTTTCTTTTAAGTGCTGGATTGCTGTTTAGCTAAATGTCAAGCCTGTTCTACCGAAATAGCAAAATGTACAAATAAAAAGTAGGGATAATTTCAGAAACCTCTCTTGAGGTTTCTAATAATTTCATTGAGCTCCCCTGAAGTTTGAAAAATTTACACTTACCTCCCTCGATTTGATAGTTTTAGTAACAGAATCTTAAAATAATATTGATTTGATCAATTTTTTTAAATGAATATCCAAAAATGCCCTCGTGTAATGAGTTTTAATTTATTTTCCTATACAATTATAAGATTATCTAGTATATTTATAAGAAAAAGGTGCCAAATTTTTAATGTCCATACCTACTATTTGATAAACAATTATAATAATAATTTTATCACTATGATAAGATACTTTTGATGGTACTTTATTATAGATTTAGATTTATAAGATAGAAAAAAATGTTGAAATAATTCATTTAGAGTTTATAAATTTTTCGGGTAGTGGGATTATCATAATTTGATAGTGATTTTGGGTCATTTCTTTTTGATTTATTGTTAATTTTAGTACCAAAAACTAGAAAACAAAGATCAACAAAAACATTGAATCACATATAAAATTAACTCGTCAAAAGAATCACTAGTTCGACATTTGGTTATAATAGAAACTAGAAGCAATAGTGGTAGTTCTACAGTTTTATTAGCAAAAAAAAAAAAAGCAATAAGAAGGAGAAAAGAATGAAAAAATAATTTTAAAACTCATTCTAAGTATAAGCATACCAAATAAGGAAATTTCATTAAAATATTTAAAGGTAAAATTGTCATTTTAAATGACAAGGGAGGTATGTGTAATTTTTCAAACTTCAAGAGAGTTCAGTGAATTGTCAGGAACCTCAAGGGAGGTTTCTGAAATGATCCCTTTTATAACCCATATCAGCTACTAATAGTGATACACCCCCCCCCCCCACCCCCACAAAAAAAGTTAAAAAGCTATCACTATAATTATCAAAATCTGTATAGTGGTTCTTTAACGTTCATATACCCCCCCCCACCACCCCGGCCAAAAAAATGCAATAATTTGTAGGACATTTAACAGCCCATACAAGATGGATTAGTGTGTTAAACTTGCTTAGGACCTGTACAAGATGCCTCACCGCATACTGAAGAAATTGTCATTCCCTTTCACTGAAAAATGACAAGAAAACTCTGCAATTCCAACTGGCAACACAAGTGGCGAGAAGATTACATGAGAAGAAATGCTAAACAGTTAGAGCATTTCTCAGTGGCTGAAGCATTTTGGTAGTGTTGGTAATTGGTATGACACCAGTTGACTTAACTCAGGCCAAATGCACTTAATTGTCATGAGGTGGATCTAAGGCATAAATTATATAGTCCTACTATACTATACTATACTATATTTTCAATGCCTATACACAAACTTATGAATATAAATTATCTCTCCGTCTCTTTCAACACATTTTGACCCCGACTCTATCATGCATGAAAGATGAAAGAGACCTCTGAACTAGATATGGTAGATTAGGCTCTAAAATAGTACAGATCTGTTGACGTACATATACTATCATCCATGTACATGAACTTGTATCGATTACATTACTTTATGCTGCACTTGGCAAAATACAAGACGCATCTAAGCCGCCTTTTACAAGTCTTGCTGATGAAATGTGTGTTGTCAACAATTTATTTTCAGTGTATATATTTGAAGAATAAAAATAATAAATTAATCACGCGTTATGCCGATGATTTTAGGATTTAATTGTCACTTGGGTAGGTTAATAGATAATCTACAACTTACCGTCTCGTTAGTGTTAATTATAACATGTATTAAGGGAGGGCCTACATCGTACGTAGGTCTATACAATACATTTTTTTGTTATTTAGGTGGCCTATGCAATACTAATTCGTAATTATCCATGTCTTATTAGGTCAAGTAATTTTTGACTCTTGACTTCAGGCACTTAGTGACCTTCTGTTTAAATGTCACAAGATAGATTAATTACGTTGAATTTATTTATTATTAGTTAACACAAGCTACTCTGAATGGAGTGCCAACCAGATTAAGATATCGATGGTAAAAAATCATAAAATAAAAAAAAAGAGCAAAAAAAGTAAAGATTGTATTATTACAACTAGCGTCGACTGGCAACCCTATGATTTTTTAATTTTATTTTATTCCCTTTTTTTTTTTGGTTTATCGAAATTCCATGAGCGAGTTATGGAATTGTTCCATGCAATTATATGTGTTTTTTTGGCAGGAGAAAAGCAAAGCAGAAATGTGATGTGACTGAATGCTATAACTGACCAAGCCCAGAGCTTGACTCCCAAAGTACCACACCAAAAGCAGAGGCCCACATGATTGAATGAAGATAAGGTGACGCCCTGAACAGGCCCAAATGATTAAATACCGAATCGTTGAATTCTTTTATCTTACCTAAAATGACCTCCACCACCGGTAACTTTCCTTGTAAAATTTCATTTTTGATTATGAAGAAATATTAAAGACTCCACCGGTAACTTTCCTTCTAAAACTTGTTCATTTTTTGAAAAGAAAAAAGGGTTATAGCCATTAGCTATTACAAATAGCGGTGTGATTTGAAGAGAATCTCTGTTAGATTGCTTCTCCAAAAAAGAAGAGGTGTAGGGCAAATCCAAAAGATTCTAGCAATATTTTGGATTCCAGAAGAAAAATAGTCTGGTTAGCAATATCAATATATTTTTGGAGATCTCCATGATGAATTCAACAAGGTGTGCTGCATGCAAGTATTTAAGACGAAGATGCTCTCCAGATTGTATTTTCTCCCCTTATTTTCCTCCCAATAATCCTCAAAGATTTCTTGAGGTTCACAGAATCTATGGTGCTAGCAACGTTGCAAAGATGCTTGAGGTAATTAGTACAGATCTTAATGACTTTCGTAGCTATTTTTTCTTATGTAATGGATAATGGGAAGATAGATTAGAATAATATTAGTCTCATAAAAAAAATTTCTGCGAGTTATCCCACTACTAGCTAGTAATAGGGTTAAGAACTATATTATAAAGCCTTGTTAAATTTAGGAATCATCACTGTTGCAAAATTACATAACAACTTCTTTCACACACACGCATATATGTCATGTCTATTGGAAATTGATACGTGAGTGAAGATTTTTTTGATTCAACTTACCTGTGATAAGATTGTGATATTGCCTCCGTATGCTTATGAGTTCTTATGAGATTTTTCATAACACATCGTACAGTGAAAATATGCATTATGACTTCGCCAATCTAGAATTATGACTTTAACAGTGAACATGCATGAGTTGCTTACCTTACATTTGAAATGACACTAGTAGTATTGAAGTTTGTAACGATACTAGTAGTGTTGTTTACTTCATGCTAATTTCGGTTTGTATGCTTGAATGTTACCATTATACAAGAAAGAATCAACAAACGATTTCATGTTGCCTTTGCTGCATTTATGAATTAAATAGAAAGCTCCAGTGAATCAACGAGCTGAAGCTGCAAATTCAATCCATTATGAAGCACATTGTCGAATCAAAGATCCTGTTTATGGATGTGCTGGAATCATCACATTATTGAACCAACAAATTAATGATGCTCAGTGTGAACTAGCAAAAATCCAAGCAGAGATTGCTGCCCATAATGGTCACCATGCAGGCATACTACCTCCGTACCAGCAAATTGCTGATGCATCAAGCTTTCCTAACTACCCTGTGGAGGGAGATGGAGCTTTTCCAGCAACACATGACCCTTCCTTCCCTCAGTTTTATCTTAACAGTTAGTAAAATTTATAAGTTAGCGAGTTAGATTTTATTCCTAGTAGCAACTTGAATGTATATAAGGCTCAGAGATTATGCCTTCTTTTTGTTGTGATCAGCAACTTAATTCTGTTTATGATATAATGTCAATAACATTATATGATTAAATAATCAGAACCAAATTGCTCATCTTAGTTTCTTTTCCTTTGACCTCCCTTCACACAATTAATTTTGTCCGAAATACAGGCCTTGAAGTGTTGATAATGTAAGAGTATTAATAGTGAATATAAGAAGGGTCTGAATTTAGCAAGTGTGGTGACATTGATAGAAAGGGTGTGAGTTTTTTCTCACTGCCAGGTTCAAAATTCTAATTCTAAATCTACCAGTTATGGGTGAAAAGGGTGTGGGAGAGGAAGGAGGTAAAAAAAAAAGAAAAAAAGAAGCCATCTTGGACTCTAAGAAAATGTACTTTCACCCTAATCCGAACCACAAAAGAGAAACAAAAAAGAGTGATAAGATTTTAGTAAAATTTTTGCCTTGTAAACATGATCCACCACTGTATCTTGCGATTGAAGGGATAGCTAGGGTTTAGAGATGGAGATCATAGGCCATTTCGGTGATAGATTTGCCTGGACATGTGACATTGCGAAAAGCAAAGCAGGAATCCTCCTGCTAGTGTTGATGTGGCAGTACACTAGGCAAGTGAGTTTGACTTTCACAGAAGTTGTGTTCTGAAATAAACCAGAATTCTTCATTCGTCTGGGAGGCCTCGTTGCTGTTGGTGGATTTGGCCGGAGCTCAGAGTTTCTGGGCTCTGATTATTACTTATTCGATCCACTGGATGGAATTGTAATTTGGTCATACTCAATATTCGAGGCTTGTGTATTTTAGTCAATTTTTTTAATTATTTGTATTCTAGTCAAGTTTACTCCTAACTTTTACTATTATACTTGGAAAGCAGGCTTTCGCTTCCTCTTTTTATTTTTTTTTTATTTTATTAATTAGATTGAGAGTTGAGGCGATGTGGTTTTGGTCGTAACGGATCATTGGGACCGACACCACGAACTTTGTGCAGAGTTTGCATTTATATACTCCCTCAATCTTATTGAATGTGTCATACTTTTCATTTTTTAATGTTCCAAAACAATTGCCATGTTAGAAAAATCAAAACACCTTTTAGTCTTTCTTTTCAATATAATCTTTTTTTCTAATCATATGTATGTTACCATTCAAATTTAAATTATGAATTTGTGGAGGTTGAAAAAAGAAGCACAAATATCACAATCAAACCACTATCTTTAAAAAATTAGATTCTCCAAACATGACTAAATAAATAGAACAGATGGAGTATATCTTCTAGTTTTTGGAGCTCGTGACCTCTCATTTCTAGAAAGAAATTAATAAGAAACTTTTATGAATGTAGTAATTTGCAGCAATGGTGAAGGAAGATTCTCAAGGTGGTGAGATGAAGAAAGAAAACTTTTCGCTCTTGAATCCATGGTCGAATGTCAAGCCTGTGAAAATCCCATCTTCCTCATGAGGGGTAATTTTTGGTTGGAGGTGCACATTCAACTTTAGAGTAAAAAACATGTGGACAATCGTACTACCGTCACTAGGCCTCATGATTTACTTTCAATGAAATTCTTGAGGTTTCTTTAGTCATCTTGTCCACTTAATATGGCTTTAAAAAGATCAAGCACAAACATTGCTCTACCCGAGTTCAATTAATTTTTTTAAAAACAATTTATAAGAAAATCCACAACTGCTGCTATCCGAGAGTGCCCGCCATTAGCCCACATGATTTACTTTAAGGGTTCGTTTGGTTCCCCATAGAATTGGGGTTTAGAATTGGAATTGGGGTCCCAATTCCAATTCTTCAGTTTGGACACCGGCAATGCCAGAGAATTAGAATTCAATTTGAATTCTACGAGCCATCAATTCCACAAATTCAATTCTTTGGTAAGACCTAAGAATTACAATTCCAATTCCATAATTTCACCTCCTATTCGGGTTAGTACGCGGATCCTAATGGGTAAAAAATTAAAATCGGGTCAACTATGTGAGCAGCCCTCTCTCGCGATCTAATTAGTCACTTTTCCTCAACCGCAAGTGCTTCTTCTGTGCGTCATCCCCTTCACTGCCACCCTAACATTTTGTCTCTTCCACCACCGTCTCCGGCATCGCTCTGCCACGCATCTACCCATCACTTCAGCAATCGCAAGACTGCTCCGAACTGGGTTCTTCAGTCCGGAAGGTAACAACTAAAAGCTCTCCTTTGCCTTCGATTTTTAACTTTGCAGCATTGAATATTGAATTCTGAATTTCTTTGACTCTAACGGCTATGCCCCTTTCGTGCTCTGATGGCCAGTGATTTGATGTCTCTCAGATCATACCAGTGAATCGGCCCTCTCACCTTACTTCAGTATTTACTACCTGCTTTGGTAATTTGGATGGGGTGGAAGTCCCTGGGATGGCATTTTTGTTTTTGATGGCCTTGCATGATTTCAATGGCTCGAGTCTTGCCTTGATGTTTGCCTCTGCCATTCATAAAGTTTAGTTTATTAGTGCATGGTTTCGGTGGTAAGTTTGCCCTTCGCTAGGTTTTTCATAACTTACTTGGATGCACAGAGTGTAAGAGGAGGAGTAGATTAGTATTTTATCTTACTTGGAAGAAAAAGAAGAAGGAAATTGGTCCAGAAACTGATCAAATCACTTTTATGCTGCCTGCAACAAGAGTATTTTCTAACATTTAGACTAGACTGTTTTATGATTTCATTCTGTAAGGGAGGCCTACCTCATCGAAAATTTTGTTGAGAACTTCTTATGTTACATGGTCACATATATAAACTTAAAAACTTACATCGAACCAAATGCTTTGGGTCCAAAATGGAAGATAGGAAGAAGGTGTGGAAAATACAAAAAATCAGATTCAGTTTACCATGTACTTTTAGGAATTGGCATTAGGTTACTGAAATTTTGTCATTACTCCCTCAACCATTTAAACATTAAAGGAAAGAAATTGGAACCGGAGGCTCCACAATGTTGTCAAATTTGGTGCCCAATTTGACAAAGCCGGTACATCTACATGTTGGTAAACAGAGGAAGGATCATGGATGGTTTGGACTCAGAATTCTATATTGATACTCGTCCAAGCATGAGTGATGCTGAGGACGCATAGATTACTGTTATCGTTTATTGTACATGTTAGATAATGTAGTGAATTTGGAGAACCTTGGCTTCCAGTCAATAGATAAGTCCTGTGTATGTACGTTGTCGCAGTTATTCAACTAGAGTTTGATATATAGATGTATGCTAAAATAGTTTTACCAGCAATTACCAAGGTCTTTTATGTTTTAACTGGTGCTTGAGACTTCTTTGAAGTTGTTAATTCACATATGCATGAAGGTCATTAAGTAAAAATTTAATTTTTGCCTGCAGCTTGGATGTTTGGCATGCTTTGAGCACTTAAATCCACTTTCTACTGACTTATCCTTTGTCTTCTGCATTTTGAGTGATTTAGTAATCTCTCTTTCTGTCAATGTTCACTTGAGCTCTTTGATATATATGGTCTCTTTTTGGGGGAAAATGAACGACATCATACTACTGCTTGAATGGATATGGAATTCAAAATACAGGGGTCATTACTGACTTCCAGTTTGATTGGTGACAGAAATTGGAACCGGAGGCTCCACAATGTAGTCTTGTTTCTAGAAAGAAAGCTTTGTCGGGACTTTTCTGTTTCTTTCTTTTGTTGCAGTGTGCTGGAAAATCCTTACCAGTAGAAGCTTTAAGTCACCAGAATAAGTTTAGGACATCTCCAAACTATTTTGTGCACATAAGTGATGATCTTAGCAACATCTCCAAATTGCTTTTGCAAAAAGGTTCCGTCCAAATAAGTCATCATAAGTTCTTCATTTAACATATGTATGGATTTTTCTGGTGCATATTTGCCTCTCACTTTTAGTTCTATAATGCAGTGGCTGTTGAATCTATTCTTAAGAACATGACATTGTGATGTTTTTCTGGTGCATATTTGCCTTAGATATGGCATCTGAAGCAACATCTCAGTCAAAAGGGAAAGGCAAAGGGTATTTCACTTGGACTCCTGAAATGGATCGTGTAATGGGCACCTGTTTTATTGACCAAATGAACCAAGGAAACAAATTGAATGGTAAATGTGCATGGAAGACAGCAGCCTACACCGTAGTAATGAATGCTTTATTCGATAAGCTCAATATATCTGTGACAAAGGCTAATATTTTATCTCGTTTCAAGACATGGGAGAAACACTATGACATCCTATACCCACTGCTCCAGTCATGTAACTCTGGGTCTGCGATAATATGGGACTACTCTAGAGGTAGAATTGATGTTCGTGATGAGGATGTATGGAATGCTCGAGTAAGTGAGAATCCAAAAATTCTTCCTTATAGAAAAAAAATTGTGGTTGAAAATTGGGAGGATATATGTACACTGTTTTCACAAGATCGTGCAAATGGAGAGGGTGCCCAAACTGTTTTTGAGGCTAATGTTGAAACTGAAGTTGAAGAGTCTGCTAATGTAGAGGAATCATTTGAGACTGATTCACGATCTTTAGAAGATGAAGTTATGAATGCACTGCTAGCTCGACAACGGTCAAAATCAAAAGCTTCATCTTCAACAAATGATCGTGGCACAAAGAGAAAACTAACGAGCTCTCAAGTACTTTACAAAGTGTTGGGACGAATGGCAGATTCACTGGATAAGTACTTAAATTCAGAATGCTCAAAAGTTACAACAAAAATGGTGGAAGACGAGTTATCTAAAATTGAATTGGATAGATTTCAATTGTTGAAGGGTATTGACTTACTTATGAATGACAGGACAAAGTATGACACTTTTTCTGGTCTCGGAGATGACTTAAAAAAGGATTGGCTATTGATGCACATTGGTAATTGATTTTTTTTTGGGTAATCTCCAATTGAAGTTGTTTTTGTAGAAGAAGTTGAGCTGATTGCTGGAAGCCCAAGTAGAGCAAGTAAAAG